AGAGGGCCAGACGGAGCAGTGCAATGGTATAAGGAGGTGTCCAATTGCCAGTGGGACCTACAAAATCGGTCCTCATTTTCAGGGGTCATTTCGTAGGAAAAGAGGTGCAGGAGCTCATTAGCATAACTCATTAGCATGACTTATTTGCATATGCCACACCCCCGACATCACCGGACGTGTGTCAAAGGCAACATCCACCGCTCAGGCTCCACTGGACTGTTTTGGATTGCTAGCTATTGGGGAGGAGGAACGTGCAGATCTGTCCTCGCAGAGGAGGGAGAGCTTGTACCTGAATAAAACTTGCAACTTCTGGACTGTTTTGGACCGGGTGCCCCCTCTGCAGCTTACCTGGCTGCTTCTTGCTCTGACTGAGGGCTGCTGGGAGAAGGGGGCGGGGCTTGTTGCATGTGCCCGCCCCCTGGGCTCTTTACTGCCGGAGCGCCGCTCCTGTGCGCTCCCGCTGGAAATGACCCTGCTCAGTTGCAAAGCAGGGCAAACTTCCCCTCCTGGGTTCGGAAATATCTGGAGATGTTGAGGGTGGAGCCTGAGGAGGGTGGGGTTTGGGGGAAGGGAGGGACTTCAATGGGGTATAATGCTATAGGGTCCACCTTCCAAAATCGTTTCTCCAGGGGAACTGATCTCTTTCACCTGGAGGTCAGTTGTTCTCTCGGGAGATCTCCAGCTACCACCTGGAGGTCGGCGACCCTACCAGGTAGTCTGCTGTATGTAGAAGCCGCCTGCCACTGAACATCACAACCAGCAGCCATTCACTCAAGAGAAGGTTCCCCAGATATGTGCTAAGATTTCCAGAAGGGCTTGATTCCTGCGTTTCTCATGCTGCATCCACATATGGCTGGGTACAGAGTTAGCGTTGCTCCACAATAGTAGTTTGCATTTGGACCGGATTTAGGGTTGCCAACCTCCAGGGGGTGGCCGGAGTTCTCCCGCTATTACAATTGATCTCCAGGCGACAGAGATCAGCTCCCCTGGAGAAAATGGCCGCCCTGGAAGAGGGACTCTATGGCATTATGCACCACTGCAGTCCCTCCCCTCCCCAAACCCCGCCCTCCTCAGGCTCCGCCCCCAAAATCTCCAGGTCTTTCCCAAGCCGGACCTGGCAACCCTAACTGAATTGTCCAAAGAGGAGAATCCAGCAGCAAGTAATCCCTGTTGTTCCGTCATGATAGTGCAATACCCAGTGATCATAACTCCCCCTGGAAGAAAAGGGGGCAGCAAGGGACGCCGGAATACAACTGGCAATGTCCAGTTCTCTCCTCTGATTCATACGCTCAGGTCCAGGACCGAAGCTGGGGAGGGAAGAACCAATGTGTACCCTTTACTGGGTCCAGGCGCCCTGTGGGCGGGGTGTGTGTGTGGAGTTGAGGCTGTAAGTCTGTTGCTATAAGAACCAATGTGTACCCTTTACTGGGTCCAGGCACCCTGTGGGTCTGTTGCTATAATCTAGTCCCTTTATGTCATTTCTAGGGTTGCCAAGTCCCCTCATCGCGCCAGCAGGGGGGATTGAGGGGCACTCCGGGACATCCCTGACGTGATGACATCACCCAGAAGTGACATCATCACTTTGGTGCCATCGGGGGCAAAACTCTATGGTAAAACTGGTTTCAAACCATCAGGGGTCATTTCGTAGAAAAAGACGTGCAGGAGCTCATTAGGATAACTCATTAGCATAACTTATATTTGCATATGCCACAACCCCTGACATCACCGGAAGTGTGTCAGAAGGCAACACCCACCGCTCAGGCTCCACTGGACTGTTTTGGATTGCTAGCTATTGGGGGGGGGACGCGCAGATCTCTCCTCGCAGAGGAGGCAGAGCTTGTACCTCAATAAAAACTGGTCTTAAAGGTGCCACTGGACTGTTTGGGGGGGGGAGGGCTCTGCAACTTACCTGGCTGTTTCTTGCTCTGACTGAGGGCTGCTGGGAGCAGGGGGCGGGGCTTGTTGCATGTGCCCGCCCCCTGGGCTCTTTACTGCCGGAGCTCCGCTCCTGTGCGCTCCTGCAGGAAATGACCCCTGCAAACCATAGGTTTGCCCTCAAACCAGAGCGTCACCACACGACGTCCCCAACATGACAACATGACTTCTGGGTGACATCATGGCATCGGGGACGTCGCACAGTGACATCACTGCTTGGGGGTAGGGTTTCCCCCACCAGCCAGTTGGCCAGCGGCAGGCAGAGGCTCCCAAAACCAGGGGGAACTCCACTGGGACCTGGGGACTGGCAACCCTAGTCATTTCAGAACTCCAACAGAAATTTTACCTTCGTGACTCATGAGATCAGGATGGATCGGGCAGGGGAGACATTGCACGTTTGTCCTGGACCCAAAAGAATGATACTTGGACCCTGCACAGGACTGTCTTTCCTTCCTTCCAAGCACTCTTCTGGAAAATATAACTGATTTCTAATTTTGCCCAAAAGGGGGGGGGGGTCAGGCTCAGGTGACGTCAGCATGTTCCCTCCCGAAATGTGCGTTCTTCAACCCACAACCTGGTTGCGGTGCCTGGCCCCCAGGATGTTCACCTGGCCTTCTTTGTGGTGGCCCCATCCAGGCGGAACTAGCTGTCAGATGATATCCGGGTGCTGTGGGACTTATCTAAGTTCCGTGGGACCTGCAAAGCAGAGCTCTTCCATTTAGCTTCTCAGTAGTCAGGTCTGTTTATGCTGCCTTTTAGTTTTATTTGTATTACGTTTTTAATTGATATCTGTTAGTAATTTAGCTGTTGTTAGCCACCTCGAGATCTCCTGGGTGCGAGTGGCGGCATATAAATAATCATTTAATAATAATAATGTTCTCTCCTGCAAATGTGAGAGTTACACAGGAAAGGGGAGGTCCACGTGTCTGGATCCTAAAAGGGGCAGCTGTCATCGGAGGAGGGGTTCACCCATCCTTAAACTGCCCAGCATGAGTTTTACGGCAAAGATCAAATGCGGGAAAAGTGCGTATCGAAACAATTCACTCAGCACAACAAATGAGCTCAGGCAAATCAGTGCTGACATGCAAAGCGTGTGTATTCTTTTTTTTAATTTATGGTTTGAATCTCTTCCATTTTAAAGGAGTAGACGTGGAGAGAATGGGAGAAGGTTTCCAAGACAGCTTCTTTTTTGGATGGTTCTTCTGGGACTTTTATTTGTGTTCTGAAAGAAGAGAATATGTTATAAGGAGTTCGGGGTGCCAAGCAGGGAGTATTCTAGCTTCAAACAACATCTGGGAGAAAGTAATCTCTCTGCAACATCCAGACAAAAGGAAGGCGATGCAGAAACAGTAGCCCGTTTTTCTTCTGAAGTGAAGTACCCTGGGGGGAGGGGCTGAGGACTTGACCGCAGCAGGGGGCAGAGGGATGGCGGGGGAGTGGTTTTCCCTCCCAAAATTGCCCTCCTAAAAAAGCTGCTATCCCAGGGAGCAGGGAAATAGTGCTCTGTATCTTTTGTCTTGTAAATAGAACTGTAATTTGAAGAAGACAAGTGGAGAGAGACCTATGAGACTCATGGGGGGGGAATCCCTTCCACCCTTCCAACCTTTGGTCCGGTCCCCCACTCCTCGCACCAGGAGGGACCAGAGAAACAGTTATGGGGGAGAGGGAATCTTGCACACACACACACTACTTTCCTGCCCCCACTCCACTCTGACCACTCACTCGTTCCCCTCCCCATCACTGTGCCCACCCTCCAAAGGAGCCGTTTTCTCCAGGGAAACTGGTCTCTGTCGTCTAGAGATCAGTAGTAATCCCAGGAGATCTCCCTGGAGCCTGGCAACCCTACACTGGACTCAAACATTTGTTCTCCTGACAGGTTGGTTAGGCTGAGAGACAGTGACCAGCCCAGGATGACTCAGCGCGCTCCCATGGCAGGTTGGGGATTCAAACACAGATTTCCCAGAACTACCTCAACACTCTAACTGCCACGCTATGGCCCAGTCTGCATCTAGCATTTGCTAAGCTGTTTTACCAAACCCCCGCTGGGACAGAAATTCCCCTCTACGTTGCATGCCACGTTCACTCTGATCGATTGCCGGGTTATATGGCGGTGTCCAGATTGCATGCCCGCTTTCACTTGGCTTGATCTCTGGGTTTTATGGTAGCCGTCTGCATAGATTCATGGCTGTTTTATGGCTGTTCAGGGGTGACGCTGCAGCAGTGTTCCCTCTAAGCTGAGTTGGTGTGAGCCGGCTCACAGTTTTTTAGCCTCCGGCTCACACCTTTTTGTCTTGGCTCAGGAAGGACGGCTCCAGGGCAAACTAATGATGCAGGAGCCAAATGGCTCGCTCACAACTTTCATGCCGGTAGCTCACAGGGTAGAATTTTTGCTCACAGGACTCCACAGCTTAGAGGGAGCATTGCTCTGCAGTCAGTACGGGCGTTGCCCTGGGGTATCTGAATGTGATTTCGAGCCGCATCTTTTTCTGTTCCAGGGTGGGTTTGGTACAACAGCGGAGCAAAGCCTAGATGCAGATTGGGCCTATGCTGGCTGGCCCTGCTAAACGAGCGGATTCCCGTGGCTTGTGCTAAACTAGTGAATTCTCACAGCTCTATTGCAGAACCCGAGTATTTGCGCGGGGAATTCGCTTAAGTAGCAAAATACGCTTTCAGTCCCTGGACTGCTGTCTGTTGAGAACACAGAAATCGGACTAGACCGGCAGAAAACGATCCAATGGGTCAGCTGAACACACCGAAGTTGCATCAGAGGGACGCATTAGGGCTGGAAGCGTTGCATATCTCCTGGCAACTGGTCGAAAGGCACAGGTCTCAGGCACCTCATCCCGCACCCGGGGGCCGCACAGCACTTCAGGTCTCCTAGGCAGTTTCCATCAATCCTGCAGTCAGGGGCCCTGCAGAGATTCGGGCGCTGCTGGAGTCCGTGGTGATGATAGGAATAGTAGTGGCGTCCGAATCCTTCTCTCAAAGCCCAGCGAAACTCTTCGGAGGAGGAGGAACTGAATCTGTGCCTGAATCTGACCTTGGGAAGTGCGCCAAGGGGGGGATACCCGTCGTGAGGATCGCTGTGAGAGACGTGCACCAGGAAGCCCACGATAGGACACCGGCCAGGTTTCACCATCACCGCGGGAGGCCCTGGGGTCAGAAAAAGGCCGGAAGAAAAAGTTATACACTCAGGGCAGTGAGGCCTAGAAGAACTCTATTGAACGAGCATATATGGGATATTGGGGGCCGCCTTAAACTGGGGCCTGTACGACTTACGTCACTCCCAGCGTGCCATTCCCCCCCCCCCCACAAACACATATTTGCTCAATCCCACAGAAACTGCAGAACGGGGGACAGACAAGAGGTGGGGAGGAAGGGCTATTTTAACCCTTTCGCCTCTAGCAATCGCCCCACTGAGCACGAATCCTCTGCTTTACCTTCCAGGGCTCTTTTTGTAGCAGGAACTCCTTTGCATATTAGGCGACACACCCCTAATGTAGCCAATCCTCCATGAGCTTACAGAGCTCTGCTTACAGGGGCTACTGTAAGCTCCTGAAGGATTGGCTACATTAGGGGTGTGTCACCTAATATGCAAAGGAGTTCCTGCTACAAAAAAAGCCCTGCTTTTCAGTTGCAAGGCAAAAGTAGTGGAAACCCTTGAGTTTGCTCTTACCTGGACGATCCAGGCTAGCCCAGTCTCCTCAGATCTCAGAAGCTAAGCAGGGTCGGCCCTGGTGAGTACTTGGATGGGAGACCAACAAGGAAGTCCAGGGCGGAACGGCAACCCACCTCGGCTCCTCTCTTGCCTTGAAAAACCCTATGAAGGGTTGCCCTAAGTTGGCTGTAACCTGATGGCACTTTCCATCACCCACCCCTATGTTCTGCCGTGGCCGATAGCTATGGTGGGGCTATTGGGGGCTCTGCCCCTTCCTTAAAGGGCAAGCCCCCCTCCTTAAAGCCACCTGCTTCTCAAAGGCCCCCCCCTTCTTGCCAAAAGCATTTAAAGGGATCCTTTAAATGCTTTTGAGAAGAAGTGGGGGGTGGCGTGCGCCCCTCTCCCTCCCCCTCCTGCAAGATTTAAAGGGCCCTTCAGCTGATTGGTGGGGAGCACGGGCCACATTGATCAGCTGGAGGGCCCTTTAAACCTTCCAGGAAGGGAAGGGAGAGGGGTGTGCACCACTCCCCCTTCATTATAGCAAATAATGGCAGCCCCGCCAGGACTTTTTTTGCCCCATAAGCCACAAACTCCTGGTTGCAGGCCTGGTTCTGCCTTGAAATTGTGATCCCCTAGTGAGGCATCCATGAGCACCCTATTGCCTGCCACACTGCCTGTGTTTCCTGAGCTTCGGGATAAAATCCAAAGATTCTTGAATGGAACAAGAACGAAAACTGGTCATTAATTGACCAGCTGACTCGCAAAGCACCAACCTGACCTGGGTGGCCCAGGAGAGCCCCGTCTCATCAGATCTCAGAAGCCAAGCAGGGTCTACCCGGGTTAGTATTCGGATGAGAGACCGTCGAGGAAGTCCAGGGTCAGGAAGCAGAGGCAGGCAATGGCAAGCCGCCTCTGAATCTTGTCTGGAAAACCCTACGGGGTCACTGAAAGCCGGCTATGACTTAACGGTATTCCCGCCACAAACAAAGCACCAAGCTCATCCCAGGTAAGAGCTTCATAGCCATGTGACCTCAGCTTGGCCGTATGTCCCTGGGCCTGGCAACGTCTCCCTGTGGCCCTGTGTGTGGCAGCCTTTTTGTGCCTGCGCCCACCATGCTGTGTCAGAATTCCAAAGGTGCCTGCGGGCTCAAAAAGGTTGGGGACTCCTGGCTTGGAGAGTCACAAGCTGTGCTGTCTCGGAGCTATTAACCATGCCCGGAATGTTCCCAGAGTGATAAAGAACGGTACTAGGAAGGTCAACAATGACTTTGGTCCCACTTTTAAGCTGAAGTCTGGTGAGGATTCATGATACCCATATCAGTAACAAAGGCAAACCAAATAGTATTTTAAAAAAAGGCTTACCCGTGGGCTGAAAGGGTGTTGCTTTAGTGGTCTGAACAGTCCGATCTAGAGAAGCGAAGCACAAGAGACTGAAGAAATACATGGGGAAGATTCTGGACTTGTCCAGAGAGAGTAAGAAAAATTCAAGGATGCAACTGGTGTTGGTACTCTTTCTGATCCCAGCATTATGCTATTACAATATCCGGAAGAAGCTATTCAGAAACCGTATCTAGAATTAAAACTGAGTTTATTACCCGCAACAAACTCAAAGCTTCCCATTCTCATTTCCTTGCTTGTAAGTTCTTTGTTTTTTGGGGGGGGGGGTGTCTGTTCAACATATGCTTCGCTCCCTCTAGTGGTCGATCCGATATTACACTGCATAAAGGTAAAGGTAAAGGTTCCCTTGCTCGAAAGCCGACTCTAGGGTTGCGGTGCTCATCTCCGTTTCAAAGCCGAAGAGCCAGCGCTGTCCGAAGACGTTTCCGTGGTCATGTGGCCGGCATGACTAAACACCAAGGCACACGAAACGCTGTTACCTTCCCACCGAAGTGGTACCTATTTATCTACTTTCAATTTCTTGTTTTCGAACTGCTAGGTTGGCATAGCATACCTCCCTGCAGATTTAAACTTCAGGTTTTTATGCTGGACACAAACGTGTCTAATAGCGAATTGACCACCAGAGGGAGCAAAACAGGTGTGGAACAGAAACCCCCCCCCCCCCAAGGACCGGGAAGTTACAAGGGAGGAAAATGAGAATGTGAGAAAGCCCTTGGTATAGTTGCAACTTGCGGAGGAAACCCCTATGTCCCTAATTTTTTAAAAAAAGTATGAATGCAGTGTTAATGATGGAAATCGGGGCCAGTTCCAGATTTTGGGAGGCCCTGGACAGAGATTTCCCAAGGGCCTCCTTCATGCGTACTACTCACTCATGTCTTCCACTACCTTTCTGGGCATCCCTCCTGTGCCCTGCTCACCATCCCTCCTGCTGCCCATGCTCACAGCCATTGGCACTGCCTGCAGCCCTCTCCCTGGTGGCAGAGAGCTAGAGTTGCCAGGTCCATCAGACCCGAAGGTGAGGCATGGAGGGAGCATTCCAGGACCAGATAGTGACGTATCTGGAAATAAATGTGAAGTACCTACATCACCCAGAAGTGACATAGGCACGCCAGTGATACTGAGGGGTGACACTCTGGTTCTTGGGCAAAACTCTATGGTAAAATCGGCTTCAAACCATACAGTTCTGTTCAAAAACCAGAATGTTAAAAAAAACCCAACCCCACATCACCAATGTGCCTACGCAGGGGTCATTTCATAGAAAAAGAGGTGCAGGAGCTCATTAGCACAACTTATTACCATAACTTATTTGCATATGCCACACCCCCTGACATCACGGGAAGTGTGTCAGAAGGCAACACCCGCCACTCAGGCTCCACTGGACCAGGGGTCATTTCGTAGAAAAAGAGCTAGGGGGGCTCATTAGCATAACTCATTAGCATATGCCACACCCTCTGACATCACCGGAAGTGTGTCCTCCCCACAGCCGGCGGCGACCTCTAGCGGGCACCAGCAGGGAGCTCCAGGCCCCGCCCTCCCGCACCTCACCCGGGGGGATGGCGTCCCCCCG